GGCATTGGCCTTGAGGACGGTCTAACAGCAGGCCTTAAGCTTTTGCTTTATTTGGACTTCTAATGGGAGGTTCCCAATAATGTAAGCAACTGGCTGGTTGGCTGGTTGTGACTAACTGTGGCTGGTCATGGTTTTTTTTTTTTTTTTTTTTTTTTTTAAAGTCAGTATTGTGGTCCATTTTATGCTGTTATAACAGAATTCCCAAGCCTAGGCATTTCATAAAGAAGAAGCTTATTTAACTCAGAATTCTGGAGGTTAGAAGTTCAAGATCAGGAGACTACATCAGTTCAGTATCTAGTGACCGCCTCATGCTGCACCATGAAACAGGAGGGCAAACAGAAGCACATGCCAACGTAAAAGACAGGTGACACTTCTTTATAATTACTTACTCTTCGGGTAATTAATTCAGTCCTGTTAAAGTGGGAACTCACTCCCAGGAGAAGTTATGCATATATTCATGGGGCTTCTGCCTCCATGACCCACATACCTCCCACTGCTCTACCCATACTCACTACTCACACTACCATATTGAGGTATTAAGTATCAACATGAGCTTTGGTGGGAACAGACCATATTTAAACCATAACAGTCAGTTTTGAGAAATATCTCCAAACTAGGCTTTAGTTTGTTATGTAAAAGCTCTAGGTATGGGAACAACTAACTGAAGCCTAATGGCCTGCCCTCCCTCCCTCCCTTTTCCCTCCTTTGTTCCCTCCCTCTCTCCCTCCCTCCTTCCTTCTCTCCCTTTCTTCCTTCCCTTCCTCCCTCCCTTCCTTCCTACCTTCTTTCAATAACACAGCCATAAATTTTTGTAAGCTCTCAAAAAAAAAATCCAACACAGAATTTCCATATGATTTGTAGTCTTATTCTCAGTAATGAAATGCAGAAAGAACCAAAATGCTGGTCAATGGATGAATGAATGGATAAATAAAATATAGCATACCCATACAATGAAATAGCCATAAAAAGGATTGTTAAAACATGGATAAATCTTGAAAACATTATGCTAAGTAAAACGAGATGTATATACTAGATGGTCTAACATTTGATTCTACCCATATGGAATATCCAGAATAGTTATATTCATAAAGACAAGAAGCTGATGAATGGTTGCCTGGGGGCAGGGGAAGAGGGAAATGGGAAGTGACTTTTTAATGGGTGCAGGGCCTCCTTTGGGAGTGATGAAAATATTTTGGGAGTAGATAGAGGTGATGGTTGTACAACATTGGGAGTATCTTAAATGCCATTTGTATATTTTAAAATGGCAACTTTTATTTTTATGAACTTCATTTCAATAAAAAAATAACACAAAACCAAAACCAAATGTGTTGCTCTATAAAAAAAGAACGATTTCTAGTACTAAGACCATGAAAGATATTCTAGGAAATAAACCATCAGCAATATCTTCGATTATATTGTACTCCAAATCATTCTGTACAAAGTTCTTCAATGTAAGCTGATGCCAAAATTCTACAAGGTAGCTGTCATAAATGCTTCCTTCAGTCAAATTTTTGGAAACTATGGAACAGGAGTAAATTTGAGATTGCATTCCCTGTCAAGAATCTGTGTGCAATTAAGATAGAGCACCATGCTTTAAGAGTTAGCCAACTGGAAGCAGGGTGAAGATCTACTGGCAAATGAGGAGAATGTCAGAAATGGGCAGTGACAGGGCTGAGGCTGGGACGGGTCTCCTGAGACTCTTACTGTTTAAACACCCAAACTAAGGGGAGTTACAATCCTATATAGTTCCCTACAAGAAATTATGTCCTCAGTGTCCTCAAAGAGGAAAGTTTGGCTTTTTTAAGACCAAATGAAATCATGCATACAAAACTTCTTTGTAAATGTAGATTTATATAATAATATAATTGCCATTGTTATTGTGTGACAATAATGTCATTTTCATGAATGCAATTTTCATATATCATATGTATTCATCATTTTCAACAAAATTTCTTGAATGCTAATTGTTTGGGAAGTAGGGTAGGCAATTTTGTTAACATTTTGTTTTATTTTATGTGTATGAGTGTATTGCCTATATGGATGTAAGTGCACCCCCATGTTATACAATATCTGAGGAAGTTAGAAGAGAACATCAGATTCCATGGAACTAGAGTTATGAACCATTGTTAGCCACCATGTGGTGATGGGAATTGAACTGAGGTACTCTGCAAGAGCAGCCAGTGTTCTTAACTGCTGAGACATCTTTCTAGCCCCCAATGTTGTTAACATTTTAAAGGCAGGGTAAAATTGAGATTCTGACAGCCCAAGATTTTCATAATTTGGAGACTGGAGACTTTTGGTTCCTAGTTCATCCAAAATCTGGACTGAAATGACCAGGAAAAAGGCAGGATAAATTGAGATTCTGACAACCCAAGATTTTCATAACTTGGAGACTGGAAACCTTTGGTTCCTAGTTCATTCAAAATCTGGACTGAAATGACCAGGAACTTCGGTTACTAAGTCCTTGATCCTCATTAACTCACAAACATAATTAGTTTGACCAGTTCTATTTCTGTCTCTGCAGTAGTATTTTAATTGAAATTTCCAGGCACCATGCTACTAAAATAGACACACACAAGGCTTGACTTTACATTACTCAGTAACCTTTACTGAGTGCCCAGTGTGTCAGGCATGACATTAAATATTATATGGACATTTAATTCCTAAAATAATCATCTGAGGAAGATGACGTGTACAGAAACAAAGGCTCAGAAACATTTACTCAGTTACAGGTGGAAATATATAGTTGGCGCAGCAATCCTTTCAGGAGCATATTTAAAAGTTTGTGAAAATCAGAGGCTGGACTAACAGGTGCTGTTTTGGTTACTTTACACATCGCTGAGACAAAATATTTGATCATTGCAACTTAAAGAAAGGCTTATTTTGGCTTAGTTTGAGGAAAAGTTCATCATTGCTGGGAAGGGAGGAGGCAGGAGCATGAAGCTACTTATCATATTGTAGTCACAGTCAGTAATCAGAGATTATGGATGCTTGAGCTCAGCTCACTGCCTTCTTTTTATTCAGTCTAGTACTCCAGGCTCTGGAATGGTCCTACCTCAGTTAACGTTACCTAAACCCTCACAGACATGTCGAGGGGCTTGTCTTATAGGTGATTTCAAGTTGAGATTATTAACCATCACAGACACCTGGGATTCCTAACTAACAAAACAAAAAAGTGAAGAACAAAAGCTGAACTTAGAACAAAAGCAAGAGAAAATACAAGGTCAATATCCAGTTTTGTTAACTCCAAAGCTCCCGGCTTAACTACTTCTCTACATTGAGACACAGTTCCACTGTTCGTAATAATTTTACTTGCCCAGACACTTATGATAATACATTTTGGGTCATCATTATTACTATGACTTATTGTGTCAAATACTATTTTTTATTTTAGTTATGTTTATGTGTATGAGTGTATTGTATTGTCTGCATGTATATAAGTGCACCTGTGTTGTGCAATGCCTACTGAGGTCAGAAGAGGGCGTGAGATTCTCCTGGAACTGGAGTTATGGATGGTTGCTAGCTGTCAAGTGGGTGCTGGGAATCGAACTTGGGTCCTCTGCAAGAGCAGCCAGTGCTCTTAACTGCTGAACCATCTCTGCAGTCCCATTGTGTCAAACAATCAGGCTTCTAAGTGCTTAACAGTCATAGATCCAGGAATATTTGAAATATTTAAAGTCTCAGTTACAAAGGAAAAGGAAGTGGTCCTCCAAATGAAAAGCTGTTTTTGAAGACAAGGCAGGTTTTGCTAGAAATCAAGAATTGAGATTACTAAGTATCTTTCTGCTGTCAGATTTAGTATCTACACTCAAGATTAACCGATTCTTTTGTAGATGTATATAATATAATAGGGTAAAGTAATTCTGACAAAAATACTGTAATGTTTCACATATAGTGCTAGGACTGCCTTGGAGCATCTAGGGCATAAGTACTTAAGGAATATTAGTTCCTCTAAATTTGAAGGATAAGGAAACTCTACCGAAATTGGCAAACTTCTCCTTTTAGAGATTCATTTTGATACATGAGTGAATACGGTAAATGAGAGGGTAGGAGTTCCAGGTGTTACTATTTTCTGTGTGTTTCTTCACCTCACCAGCCACCTATCCCATGCCAAAAACGTTCATCTCATTCTATTAGTTTTCCATAACTCATTGTACAAATGTTTATTGCACTTCTACCGTTGAAAATAATAGAAGCAAAGTTCCTCTGTACGTGGAGTTTGCAGTCCAATTGGCCAATATTTTGAAAGAAATAAAAATATTTAATAATAATTGTTTGGATAGGTGCTAAAAGGGAAGTAGAATGATGTTTTTCTTCAGTTGTAAAATGAATCAGATGATAGGTTCATTTCCTAAAATTATGTCCTTGTGAGGTTATCACATTAAAAAAAAACCCGAAAGAATGTTAATTATGTACACCCAACTAATGAATAACTACTACTTTTGAAACTGGATTGCAAATCGTCTATTCCGTTTCTTCCAGGAAAGCATGGAAACTTCTGAAAAGACAGCGAAAGTCACCTTGTGTATTTTTTTTTTTAAAGTCAAACGGAAAGACAAATTGAAAAGCCTAGGGTCAGACCACCAAGTGGCCAAGCCGCGAGCCTCTGGCCTGCGGGCTCCCTCAGCGGCGGGGGTCAGCACGCGGAGAAAATGAGTGCCGTGAACTTCAAGGCGGATTTCCTTCCAAAGACGGCAGCCGGGTGGCAGGACCCTGGGAAGAGGTCAAGGTGTGGAGGAGAAGGGCACCGCGGGGATGGCATCTGGAAGGGCAGGGCTCACAGCCGCGCCCGGGGTCCCGCAGGCACGGGGATCGCGGCGGCGCTACAAGGTGAGAGCGGCCACGCTGCCCGCCTGCGCCCACGGCTCAGGTGGCGCTTTCCCGCTCAGGTGAGCTCCTCCCGCGCCTCCCATTGGCTCAGGCGCCCGTGGCGCTGGAAGGGCGACGCAGCCGGGTCTAGTTCAGGGTCTAGGGCGGCGCGTCACTTCCGGTAGCGCGGAGCTTGTAAAACACCCTGGAGAGAAAATGGCGGCGGCGACGGCGGCGGCGTCTTCAGCGCCTCAGCAGCTCTCGGATGAGGAGCTTTTCTCTCTGCTCCGCCGTTACGGCTTGTCTCCGGGCCCGGTGACGGAGAGCACCCGGCCGGTCTACCTCAAGAAGCTGAAGAAGCTTCGAGAGGAAGAGCAGCAGCAGCACCGGTCTGGGGGTCGCGGCACCAAGACTCGGAACAGTAATAACAATAACACGGCAGCCTCCACGGTCGCAGCCGCGGTACCGGCGGCGGCGGCGGGCATGGGCGTCCGGCCGGGCTCGGGAGACCTCGTCTACTTGCGGACTCCTGCGGGCCTGGGGCGCCTGGCTGCCTCGGTTCCGGAGAGCCCGGTGGGAGGGCCCGGGGGCCCGGCGGCCGCCCCCGCGGCGGGCAGCAAAGTGCTGCTGGGCTTCAGCTCCGACGAGTCGGACGCCGAGGCCAGTCCCCGGGAGCAGGCCGGCGGCGCGCGCCGAGACCGGGCTGCGCTCCAGTACCGCGGGCTCAAAGCGCCGCCGGCGTCCCTGGCCGCCAGCGAGGTGACTAACAGCCACCCGGCCGAGCGGAGGAAGCCGCACTCGTGGTGGGGGGCCCGGAGGCCGGCGGGCGGCGAACCGCACTGCGCGTCGGGCCCGGACGGGGCGGCGGAGGACGAGGACAACGAAGGGGAGGACGCGGAGGACCGCGAGCCCGACGCCGAGGAGCCGCCGTGGGCCAGCCGAGCGGTGAACGGCAGCCGGCTTCTCCCCTACAGCTGCCGGGAGAACTACTCGGACTCGGAAGAAGACGACGACGACGATGACATGGCCCCGGCCAGGCAGGTATCGAAGGACGACTCCCTGTCCAGACATCGACCCCGACGGAGCCACGGCAAGGCGTTCTCCGCGCCCCCCGCGAAGTCTGCAGGCAGCGGGCCGGAGACTTCGGTTCAGGGAGGGGGAGGACTCGCGATGAATGACAGGGCGGCGGCCGCCGGGAGTCTAGACTGGAGCCGCGACGTCGAAGAGGCGGCGGCCGAGCCGGGAGGAGGGTGCGATGCCCTGGACTCCAGCCCGGTTCCTCGATTCCGAGCTGGCGCTAGGAAGCTGGCCCCGCTCCTGGCCTCGCCGGTGCCCGATGTGGACTCCGCGTTGGATTCGTCCCCAGGCTCCCTTCTTAAAACCAATAATCACATCGGTGGTGGGGCCTTCGGCCTGGACTCCGCCAGGATCTATTCCAACAGCCTCGCTCCCAGTGCGGCCGCCCAGAGTTCACTCAGGATCAATCACGCCAATCACACGGGCTCCAATCACACCTACCTGAAAAACGCGTACAGCAAGCCGAAGCTCTCGGAACCCGAAGAGGAACTTCTCCTGCAGTTCAAACGCGAAGAGGTGTCCCCGACGGGGGGTTTCAGTGCGCACTACCTGTCGATGTTTCTCCTGACTGCTGCCTGCTTATTTTTCCTAATTTTGGGACTGACGTACCTCGGAATGAGAGGGACGGGAGTACCCGAGGACGGAGGGCTCAGTAAGTATTCAACTGTGCGTCGGGTAGACCGTTGCTGGTCTTGCAAGAACACAACCAAATACAACAGAGTGCCTATCCCATCTTTTCTTTCAGAAGGAACCGTGTGACCATTATCAACTTGATAGCTTGTGGCTGGTTTTGCCGTTTTTCTGCATGGTGTATTGTTAAATTCATTGTTAACTTATAAAAGAAGACGATATTACAAGTCCAGAAGAAAAGGTGTACGTGTACCTTAATTTTCTTTCAGCTTTAAATAACCATCTGTGCAGATGCCAGTTACTTAGGAGTTTGGAAGTATCATTTTTAAGCAGAGTTATGCATGCAGTTTTTTTTTTTTTTTTTAAATGAGATGAATCTAAAAGGCAATTTACTGTTTCTTCAAATTCAGGCACATTTTTGTACAATATAGGTAGTTCTCTAATTTCTTGAAAGAGAATGTATGTTAAAAAGGCAGCAGGGCATACTTTTTAATTGGATTTCCCAGCCCCAAGCACCTCTCCCATTCCACCTGTGAAAAGTCATGGTAGGGTAGTGTAAGACTTCGGGTCATATTGTTTTGGATTGGTTTCTGTGCCTGCTATTTGCTTGCTAAATGACTGTAGGCAGATGTGTGCGTTTATTAAGCCAGCATCTTCTAGCCAAGACACAGCTCTAAGAAATCATATTATTCAAAGACGATAACCATTGTGTGTTCTGTGAAGGGCATAGGATGGAGCAATTACTGTGCACCGTTTTAGATGGCATGGTCAGAGCTGAAGCTGGACAAAGCAATAGCTTTGTAGAGACAGAACATTGTGCACAGGCATCATAAGAAGGGGAAAGGCTTTGAATGGAAAGAGCCTTTCTATAGGTTAGTGTAGCTGGAGTGTCCCTAGCCTGATCTGTAAAACCAGGCTAATATTGACTAGGGTGAGGCTTGTTAAGACTGAAAGGAGATTAGTGTATAAACTGCCAAGTTAGTTTCTCAGTGTTTTCTTCCTATTTCTCCTGAAGATTTTCTAATAGGAATTCACAATATCATGGTTTGTATTTATAAAGCTGACTTATTTTATCTCAAAATAGTGGGAAATATGTAGTTAGGTGACTCAATAGTGTAAGCTTATATTTTGATATAACCAATACCAAGATACTTTTGAAAAGAAAAAATAATTACCACAATATTGCTTAATTACAGGGATTGTAAGAGTAGCCTGTACTTTAATTGGCTTCCTGGGAACAAGAGTGATGTGTCTTGCCTTAAAAACTGGAGAGGAAAAAAGAAGGACACTGGAAATTAAACAGACTTACCTGTTAAGTGACATTACCTATCAGCAGTACCAATCTGCATCTGTTTCTTTTTCTAACAGCTCTGTGATCTGGTCATTGTCTGATACCTAAGCGCTTTACACACATCTCACTTCGATCTCCCAATAGCTCACTGAGGCAGAAGGTGTTATCTTCACTTTATGGACAGCTAATGAGACTCAAGAAATGTACCCATAATTGAACCACCAAGTGAGTGATAGGACTAAGAATTGGTTTCAGATTTTTTCTACTTAGAAAGCCCATTTTCTTAATACTATTTCATATATCATTTGTGAAGAGTGTTATTTGATAAGAGGTGCATTTATTGGGATTAAGAAAGTAGAATATTTAGTAGGACTTCAGAGGGAATCACAGATGAGCAAATTGTTAAGGTGACTTTCATATCTTTTATACCGTTCTAAGTTAAATGATTAGTGTTTTAAATTAATGTTAATTTTCAAGTATAGATGGATAGGACTGTTAAGGTTTTTTACTCCTTGCCTTCACCCATAAAGTAAATGGTACTTGGATGGCCTGGATGATGGAAAAGATGAGGGCCAAGTGGTTGAGATGATGGACAGCTTGGCTGAATGAGTCAATTTCTGTAACTTCCAAACTTTATTCTTATATTTGAAGGGTAGAAACAGTTTCTGCTGACCATGGTGGCGTTGTGAGGATCAGATGAGATAATTTGCTATGGTGGCATTTGTTGAGAAATTCACATGGAATGTGGTGTATATGTATTGAAGTAGTTATTACTGTAAAGGATATTTAGTAGAGTATTTCTATCTATTTAACATTTAATTTTCATTAATTCTTTAGATATACCTTGAAGGAACTGGTGCAGAAGTTTGACTCCCAAGTACAATGAATCCTTAGATATGTGGAGTACTTGACATACTGTAAACCTTACTGGAAGGCAGTCCTTGCTAGTTCAGTTAGTGTGCACATAACGGTTTTAGGGTTTTAAGAGTGAATAGTTTTCACTCCCTTATATTCTAAATCTTGTCATGGTGCTTAACCACAGGGTTTATTAGTCAAGTAATATGTTTAAGTATGTTTGAATAATAATTTCACTAGAAGATTATAGGTTATATGTGAGAGTAAGCTTTTAAATTGCTTAATGTGTAATAGATTAGTCTTTTAAATAGTTCCTTTTTAAGGTAAAAAGTTATTAATTTAGGTGATTGAAAGTTTTTCATCAGTATTCTATTTTTATTAGTCATATTTTTATTTAAATTTCTGAGTTTGCTTTCATATCTTTAAAATTAGGGCATTAAATGAGATGATTTATCATGTTTTTCTAACTTCAAGGATTAACATTCTCACTTTAAATTACTTATCAGAACAACTCAAATTAGCCTGCAATCAGTTTGTCCTGCAGGTGGTTAAATGTGACAGCTTACTGAAAGAAAAGAGAAAGCAGAGTAGATTGGCTGTCAGATGCATATGCTTCAAATACAAAAGTCATGATTGCAGACAACTTGAAGGATGAAACAAAAATGAATGAATGACTATATATGTCCCTTTTCTAGTTTTATACTCACTCTGGGTATAAACTCAAATACTAGATTCTTTTAGAACTCTCTTAATATTTTCATGGAAACATCTGTGTGGTGTTTTTTATACAAGTGTAAAGTGCCTACTCTGCAAAGAACTATTTTAAGCATGGTGTTGAACACTGGACGTGGAAGATAAGCTGTCATTCAGAGCTTCCATTCTAGAGAGGAAGATGGACAAATGAGACTTTAATTAGTGCTAGCTTTTAGCACAAGGAAACGTTAGTGTTAACTAGAGAACTGGGATGGAAGAGTATGTGATGTTGCGTACAGGTAGGCAGGCCTTTCTGAGGTGGTGACATGAATCAAGATCAGAATAGTCTAAAGCATTAGTCATTGACAAGAACACGCTTGTAGATATAACATTCTCCTGTGTTGAAGGATCAGAAAGAATGGCCAGTGTTGCTGTGACAAAGTGAATGAGAGGGAGATGGGACATGACAGAGTCAGTTTGGGCATGGGCGAAGTCATAATGGACCTACAGGTTTGGCAGGTCATTAAAAGAAGTCTGAATTTTAAGTGACATAATACTGTATGCTTTAAAGCAGCTTGTTTTTTTATTAAACATTGTAGCAGTAACTTGGATGTACTGATTTTAAATACAAAAGTGTGACTAAAAATCACCTCTCCACTTTTCCTTTCCTCATCCTGTAAGAGTGCTCAGATCTTTGCCATCCCACAGGTACTCAGTTCTGTATTCTTTACTCTTGCTCTGTCTCAGCCGAGGCATTCGTTCTTCTCTTCTTGTCTCCCAGGTCTGTCTAGTTAGCTTCTTTAACCTTTCTCCAGTTTCCCAGTTTCTGTTCCTCACTCATTTGCTACATTCAGTGCAGACAACTTCATAAAACTGCTCATTTCTGCCTCACTACTGTTTCTTACTTTTCATATTCCTATTTACCTGTGTTTAAAATGTTTTCCAGTTTTTGGAACTTTATCTTTAGTGCTGTCGTTTTGTATTACATCTCCCTAGGGAGTTTCATCTGTTCTTTTGGATCATGTCTTTCAATTTTTTATTCTCTTATAGATGTCTCATTGAATTCCAGACTTGACTGTTTAATCACACATCTTTTGCATGTACCAGAAGTACTAGTACCATCTGACTCTTGCCTGACTTTTACCTGTTTTTGCTCCTCTACTCCTTGTTTTGTTAATGGTGCTTTCATGTATTCAGAGCTTGAGAGAAATTTGAGTTTTCTTTGGTTCCCCTTTCCTTTAACTTAACCAGCTTCCATTCTACTTGGTTACTGTATCTAATAGTTGTATTTCATGTGTTTCTTTTGAATCAATATTTTTGTTTTATCACCCCGGTAGTATTTGCCTGATCTGTCCAAAGCCAAAAAGATCTCTGCTTCTAGGCAGTAGCCCTTTCAATCGGCATTGGATCCCCTGGAACTGGAGTTATGGACAGTTCTTAGCTGCCATGTAGGTGCTAGGACTCGAACCCAGGTCCTCTGCAAGAGCAGCCAGCACTCTTAACTACTGAGCCATCTCTTTAGCCCCTGGAGCAGTATTTCTAAGACACATAATGTAGTCAGTTATTCTCTCATTTAAAATGACGCAGAGACTTTCACTTCTTTACTTAATCTAAATTTGATTAGATTGTCCTGATAGGCTTATGCTTGCCTTTTCTGCCTTTATTTTCGGCCAACCACCAAAGAAAGTGATAGAATTTTATGTCTTTATATCTTTGCACATGTTACTCCTTTCCTTGGGAATACGTTCTCTTCTCTACTCTTAAGTTTCCCCTGTGTGCCAGGCATAGTGATGCATGCTTTCAATTCTAGCACTTGGGAGGTAGAGGTATGTGAATTTCTGTGAGATCAAGGCCAGCCTTGTCTACATAGGGAGTTCTAGGTCACATGAGGCAACAGGGAGACCCTGCCTTAAAAAACAAAAGTTTCTACTCTAGACTGACTCCTCATCTTGTTTGCTTGAGTTTGGACCAGCATTTTGTGGTCAAATAAGACCCTCTGCATCTTTCGTAGCATTTATTTTATTGTATAATTGTATAAGTCCACCATACCAGATAAGCTACATTCCACAGATTAATCTTTCTGCAGAAAAGGGACAGACTTTTTATTCCATTTCTGCCTGAAGATGGCTTTAAGCATTGTGATAACGAATGTATGTCAAATGTTCAGTGTTATTGCTTGACAC